TTAAAAAAACTAAAAAAGAACTAACACACACATATATGTATGTGTGTATATATATATATATATATATATATATATATATATTTATTTATTTATAAGATCTTTTATATGCTTAGCAAAAAAAGCCCTATCCATATCATAAAGAAACTGCTCAAAACCATGTACAAATGATAATCATACTTAAATAATTATTCTATAATTTGTCTTCATCATTATAATAAGCTTCTACATGCATTTTCCAGTAAACAGTCTTAATATTAAAGGGACTGCAAGGTCTATTGAGGTTGTCTCATCCACTTAAAAAAAAACACCAAATGAAATCCACTCTGATCATTTAAATATTTAGTGAGCCTTCCCTTAAACTCCCTTCAATTTACTGCATCCACAACATCTGAATGCAACCTATTCCAAAAGCCAGCTACTTTGTTAGAGGAGTGTAACTGTATAAGCAGAAGATAACTTGTAGTCTGCCAAAATTTTTAATTGTGTCCCCTTGTCCTATAGTTAAATATGAAAAAAAAAATGAAGCATCAATACCAAAAGTATCTTTTATATTTCCACATTTTTTTCCAAGAACCTCCATACAAACATGCTTAATAATTTTGATAAATTCAGGGATATCACTTCTTATAAGCTTTTAGCCAACTTGCCGTTTACTAAAACTACTCATTCTTCTTTGTTTACACAGTCCCTATGAGGAACCTAGTAATCTTTTAATAGGTTCTTTTATTAATCTTTTAATAGCATCTTTTTAATCATCAGATAACCAAGACTTAGGAATACTACTGACATTTAATGTGTTAATTGTCACCAGAGCTTTCTAATTTTAGCAATTTATTTCAAATACTTATAATATTATTATTATAGAAGAGACTAAGCTGATGTTAAATTCTGATATGATATCTTACCTTTTCTCAAAAATAGCTTTTCTTGACTTGTACTGCTCTCTATATGCAAAAATGTTTGTCGTCACTAGCCTTAATACTCCCACCTACCCTCGTGTCAGATATATGCATGCTATCATGCAAATGATCATGCAGCAAACCTCCACCAATAATAGTGCAACACAACTCCTTTCCTCACTCTCTTCAGTGCAGCCCATAATCACCCCTCAGTTGGCTGTCCTACTGATATTACGTGTTTTTGCTCATGCTTTCAAACTGATTTTTTTTAACTTGAGTAGATTAATTGCATGTCTTCGTTTTTCATTTACTAGTTCATATTAATCTTTTTGCTCATGTTTTGAGTGTTCTTCTAAACATGTATTTTTATTTTTTTTTCACTTGCATTTACAGTTTCAAATAGCACCAGGGCCTGCTTTTCCTGCTGAGGAAGTAACAGCTCTGTTGGAAGGGAGTTGACTACCTTTATATTGTCATTCTAGTTGCCAGATGATTGTCTTTTATTACCGTGTGAGGGTATGCCTGAACATGAGGATGTGTATTTTGACAGCCTGTTCCCTCTTCCAGTGGGCCAGGTGGTTAGGGCACTCCACTCTCAATCTGCAGGCTGTGGATTCGAAGTCCCATCACAACAAACATGCTCAACCTTTCAGCTGTGGGTGGTGTTATAATGTGATGGTCAATCCCACTATTTGTTCATGAGAGAGTAGCCTAAGAGTTGGCAGTGGGTGGTGATGACTAGCTGCTTTCCATCTAGTCTTACACTGCTAACTTAGGGATGGCTAGTGCAGATAGCCCTCATGTAGCTTTGCTCAAAATTCATAACAAACCAAACTCTTCCTGTGTTTCATTTCAGGTGAGGGGCCCAGACCTCCTTTTCCGTTTGTCAACTTAATAATTGAGATATGTTTTATTTTACCCTTTGGTTTCTCATCTGCCTTTCTAAGGGTTGTGCTGATGGACTAGTATCTATTGCTTCAACTTCCTCATTAGATATTGGGGTCTATGCAAGTCATTTTAGGGACCAGTTACATTTGGGGATTAGTATGTTGTGACCCCCACATACTCTGGTAGACCATGTTTTGGCATATCATTGTTCTTAGATTTGCAACATTTCTACTTGCTTAACCCTTTGGGGGTTTGGGCTCCAATACTTTGGTTACTTTTTCCCAGCCTTAGTTTTCCTGTTTTTCACGATGGCATGCTTCTCGTCATCCACCTTTTCTTTGCTAACATAGCTCCTCTGTTATTGGAACCTTTTTGGGGTCGGGACAGCCTTCTGTTGTGGGTACATTTGCCTCCCTCCTTACTGCATGATTTGCACATGGCCCCTTTTCTGAACTAGAAGGTTTTAGGGGGATATTCCCAACTATTTGATAACCAGAGTTGAGTCAGCCTGGTTGCATACCTTCCTTCTCTCATTGGCCTTCCATTTGTCTCAACTCTATCCTGAACCTATTCCTGTGTCTTGTCCTCCTCCTTCCTCTCCTTTCATGTTCCAACCTCTTGTCTTCCTGTGGTTCACTGTTGGTACTTGTGGCTCATTTCTTGGGGCAACCAGTGATCTGAGAGACTACATAATAGGTTTGCATCCTTTGGGGGCTGGGCCTTTTCACTTTTTCCATTTCTGGTGGTTCTTCATCATGAACCCTAATAGCAATAATGATTTTATAGAGAGTATTTTACGTTTAATTTCTTACTTTTTGAAGGGTTGGTGGATAAAATAGGGATCATGACATGTTAAATTAAAATGTGTCACGTGGGTCACAATAGTGGAAATTCAGGATTTTTTTAGATATTGCCTTGTAGAATTAAGAACTTAAAACTTATATACTATTATACTATGGATTATTAGCTAAGATTTTATGCTATTCTAATTAATATAACATATATGTATATAAAGTGGTTTAATAACATTTTGACTAAAACCTTGTGTCATGCGCAGTAAATGGTATCCAGGGCAATAGGGTTTATCTTGTTTTAAGCATGGTCCAATGAAGTAATTTGATGCTGTCTCGTATGCTTAATTTTCAAGCTTGCTTAAGAATTTGATCATATACAAGCATCTTTCTCCTAAACTTAAACCTCTTTTGATACAACCAGTTTACCTGTTTATCCTAAAATATTCCAAATAAATTCTCCTTTATACTTTCACCCTGCCCAAATACTTAGGCTTTTTTCAAGAAGTGGAAGAGATGTTCTTTGATTTAGATCAAGGTATGTTTAATGAAAATAATTGTGAATCTTACAAATTTTACAGTTACTTAGTGTAAAGCAAGAACAATTGAAATATATTAACATAAGGTGTTGGATCAAATCTGCCATTACTAATTACAGCAGTTAACAATATTTGTTTTGTGTTTTTGGCTCTGTTTGTTTAGTCTTTAAGTTTTGTCATTCTTTGTGATTATATTGTTGTGTGATGGGTCTTCCAAAAAAATGTTCTGCTTAGGGCCTTAAGCTAAAATTATTGCTCTGAGGTCACACTGTACAAGTTAGTAGGGCTCAAAATCCAACCAGACAATTCCTTGACTTAACCATCAGTCTTTCTCTACATTAAATTTTTTCCTTCCTTTTTAATATTTGTATATGTTATTTTGAACTTAGACTGTTAGTGACATGTGTGGCATTGAAATTTAAAATCAAGTCAGAAGTCCTTCCAACATGTTGCTGTAGGATAGAAAGACAAAAGCTTAAGATTTACAAAAAAAACAGGCTAGGCTCCAGTTAAGATAGTGTTATTTTTCTAATGGAGTGATTAGTTTAAAGAATGAGTTGCTTCTGGCATTAAAGGGGGTTGAGACTTTACAAGATTTTATGAGAAGGAATTGATGATTGACTGAAAAATGAAGGGTAAGTTTAAATTTCTACTTTTCTGAAGGTGAGTGTGCAAAGAGATGGCCTTGAAGAACCAAATGTTATAGAACTTACTATTTTGTACATAAAAGTATTCGATAAGTTCATTGTTTACCTAAAAGAATGACGAGTATACATGTACTTTGCCTCACATTAGTTTGTTTCAGTTAATGAGTAGTCAGATCTTAAAGGTTTCATTAGTTTAGTTTATGAATCTAACCATTTATTATGAAAAGTCTATGTTACAATTGGGCTGAAAGTATCTTTTGTTTTAATTAAAAAATTTTCCAGTATAAAAACTACATATCTATTTGTAAAGATTTGTGAACAACAAAGTGATAGTACCTTGTACCTAAAAAACTAACCACTCACAATTGTAGCTGGGATCCATAGGCTTATTCATGGACAAGTTTATCATTCATATAGTAGCTGTTGCAAGTTTGAAATCATTTCTAAGTTTAAAAAGCTCTCTAAAAATTAGAAACACTGAAAAATACAAACAGTATTAATTCAATAGATGTTCCTATAGGTTAACACAGTAGAATCACAACTGGCTAAAGCAGTTGTAGAATAACTGCAACTCATTATACGAAAATTATCAGCATTTTGATTGGAGAATGGACCTCGTATTCAGTCACAAAATCTGATGGAATGATCCTTCATTATTTTATCTTTAGCATTAGATATTTTAACCAGAGATGTGCAAGATATTTTTGCAATTCTTATTTTCTAATATGAATCTTGTTTGCAGATATGCAGTATCATCAGTCTCAGTTGTTTAACTGGTTCAGGGGCCAAAAACTACAGTATCCTTCAGCTGCCATTGGCTGAGCGTTTACGTCTTCACATCTTCACCTGTGTATTTTCCATTCTTGTTTGTGTTGGGTACATTTTCATTGAGTGTTCTTCGATAATAACAGCATTCCCAATAAACTGGCCTTTTATTGTAAGTATATATAAAAAATCTTGTACATATCAAGCTATCAACATGGATTTGTCTGAGAAAGGCAAGAAATTATTTAAAATGTGTGACAATATATATTGTGTAGTTGTTCTTGAACAGAATTACTTAATATGATTTAATTCCATAAAAGGCAGATGACACAGTGCTTCTAATGACTTGCAAAACAATACCTAATGTTGCAAATTAACTTGAATATTGTTTGTTAATTAAATTTTTTTAAGAGAGTCACGTTTATTGTGATTAGGAGAAATGTGTTTTGTGTAGCTTATTCATGTTTTTTTCCATACATTTCCAGATTGTGAACTGTTCATACATAATAACTAGACAAAGAATGCATGCTCTTGTAGACTCATTTATACCCATAATTTAATACATACAGAGATGTTAATTTTTGTAGTATCGTTTAATGGGAAATTTTTTGCACTTTTAAAAGATGTTGTTCTGAAATTTGGATTTGTCAAATATTGAACAAGTTAATACTTAAATAAAATTATTACCAGTAATAAATAATGTTAATGTTAGACAATGTTAGTAACTTCTTTATGTAAAATTATAATACTTGGACATAATTGGGGTTTTCTCAATAACCATAACTCTTATGTATTTTATGCACATGTTTCCATGTTCAGGCACAAAAACTGTGTTATATGGATACATTCACATGTGGAAATTTTAGTTCATGAGCATGAAAAAGTAAAACAAAAAAAAGCATTAATTTTGATGTTCTAATACTGTTACTGAATTGAAGTAATTGCTGATATAAAACATACATTGTTTGAGGCAGGTTTTAAGCACATGTAAGTAGTGCACATTATGAATTGGTTTGATACATAAACAATAGCTGAGCTCATGGATGTCACATAATTTCCTGTTTGTATAGATACCTCAGTTAGGCAACTAAAAATGGAATGAAAGAGTGCTATTGCAGAGCCATCAAGCAAGTGACCCATTAACTAGTAATATCTGACTAATCTAGTCTTCATACCTATGCAGTTTAAAATAAAAAGAAATACAACTTTAATTGGCTTATCATGCAGCTTGTTTGTAAGATGGTCAGTAATTGGCCATGGACTGTTTCTTGTTGCACCTTTGAAGACAAACAATAAATGGTGGTCAGCTTGACTATTGGACTAAAAGTTGCTTACTAGGATTTGTAATTGTAATTATTACATAATGATTACACACACTTGACTTAAAGTGGTGAAACTTGATGGCTTTTACAAGTTTCGAAGTGAATATTTGTCAGTGTACATGACAGTGTCACAGACAACAATTTCTTTGTTTTTAACCCTTCATCACAAAGTCACAAACATCAACACACATAAATGTGTATACATTGAACAAATTAAAGACTAGGGAGTAGTTGTTACAGTAGTGTCATGGTCATCACTTATTTTTTTGCTAATAATTTAAGTGTTCACCCTCAGAATTTGACAGCATAAGGTATTTTACTCAGTTTTGAAACCCTATGGAGAATCCTGATAACATAAGTTTCCTTTTTCTCCAAGAGTGCTTTTTTTACTACATTTTTAATGTGTCTTAAAAAAACCCGTAAATGATTAAACTACCAACAATGACACTATCCACAAGTCATGAAATTGCTACTTTCTATATCTCTATCGTACTACACTGAGTCACTATCTTCATTGACTTCATCCTCACTTGATATTTCATCATCATTAATTTTTCTTCTTAATTTTCACTAGCTTCAGTCCTGATAGTGCTTACAGTTGCATCTCAGATTTTGCTTTCAATTTGTGCACTTTCTTTTCTCTTTCTATCTTGTAAGAGGTGGTGATTATATTTGTACAGTAACTGATTTAGTGTTTGGTCTTTTATAAGGTGTATTTTTTTTTTACATCAGTGAATACTTTCCAGTTACGCTTGCAAACAGCTGTGGTAGAATTAAAGCTTAACACTCGCACGTTAAAGACTCATTGATTCTGATTGACTTCCATAAGACTTCCTTGCTTCTTGATTTGTATCCAAATCTGTATTCAGTCAAACCACATAAAACAATCACTGAATCCACACTGGAAATATGGTCATGTGATTTCTTGACCTTGTAAATGGCTTCACATTTTCATCCTAGTCTGTATCCTATGTAGTTTGGGTCCAGCAAATAGGCTGTTAATTAGACAGGATGAAAGGAAAATTCCAAAACAATATGCTTACTTATCTGCACACAGTAGTTATTCCTCATACATTTGCCTTTGAGATTTTGTACATGCCACTAGCTATCTCCCACCTAAGACACCTGTTGAGGACAGTGTTCTTCCTCTAAATCTCTTTGTTGATTTCATTACTCAGTTTTGTTCTGTACTTTCCCATTCTCCTATGTGTTTTGATTCTTTCCATTCCTTACTACATGACTCTCATGCTGAGGATTATTTAGTTCTTCCTCCTTCTCCAGGCACACAAGTCCACATTGGTATGTTCCTGGATCAGCTTCATTTCTACTCTCAGTTGCCTCATCCTACTCAACTCCAGGATTTCTTCATTATGGCTTATGGCCATTTCCTTTTTCCATTCTTGGATTGTCAGTCCCTGGAGTTATTTCTACCTTCTGTCTCCAGTAACACTCTTTAGTGTTCAATTTTCCTGTCTTTGCCATTTTCTTACACATCTTCTTCATTACCTACCCTCTTAATCCCTACACAGTGATAATGATAGTTTCCGGGGATCTTTTGAGACAAAAAGTTATTCTATCTGCTATTTGTATTATCCATTCTTACCACTATGACCTTCATCTGGCTCCTTTTCTTTGCCCTGAAGTCCTTGGGAGTTCCTAATGCCTCGTGTCTGTCCAACACCTGTTCTTCCTTTCCTTTTTGGTTTCTCATTTCTCATACATTTGTGAGTTTGCTCTCACCATTCCTTGATCTTGTGAACCCTCTACTGCACTCTCTCTCTGTTCCTGTTTCTTGTCCTTCTATTGCTTCTTGCTGCCCCCCACCTCTGCTTGTCTGGGTTGGCTAGTCAAGTTTTCCAGTCTTACCACTTGGTCCACCTTGGAGTCTTTTTTAATTCTTGACTCAGTCAGGCTCAGCCTTCCCCCATTTGTTGGCAGAACATGAAATGTCTAGTCACCTTGGCTCTTGTCTCATCTATTCTTCCTCCATGAGAGGTTCTATATCTTTTGCGGTCTCACACATCTCTAGAACATCTTGTCCCTCTAGGCTGGGCTCACATGATACTTCTTCAATTGACTATGAACAACCAATTGAATATCTCTCACAATCCTATGTTCTCTCTCTTCATACTTTCTTAAGAATCTGTCTTGGTGGCTGGATTGTGCCAACATTATGGTCATCATCTCACTGCTGCCCTAGCCTCTGGAGTTTGATCTCCTGGTTATGATCCCCTCCAATAATTCTACGATCATTTCTCATATAAATCATCAGGGTAGTACTCACTCTAGGGACATTTGCTTCCACTTTTGACTTTATGTTTTCGGCCCACTCACATCAAGTCCATCTGACAGCCTTTCATGTCCCAGGAACTTTGAATATGGTGGCAGATTGACTTTCTCGACCAGACAAGATTCTTCCTATGGAGTGATCACTCCATCTTTAGGTATTTCATTGGATTGGTTCCCCATTGAGTATCAATGAAAGTGGCATGTTTTGGTCACTGGTCCATCTGCCACTCTATATCACCAGGGCATCCTACTGTTATCTACCTTTTGGCCTTCTCTACCTGGTTGTTCTGCCAAGGTTTGTTGGTATCTACCATTGCAAACTATTAGATGGCCTTTTTGAGTGCCTTTCACTTTTTTCACTATGGTTCTGTTTGAGAGTCCCCTGTTTTATCAATTTTTTCATGTTCTTTGTAATTTATTATTCCTCCTCATCCAGTTCCCTTGCCTGGTTGGAACATTGATGGGTTTCTTTACACATGAAGGCCACATCTAAACCCTTGGTTACTTCCTCCTTGTACCATCTTTCCTGTAAAACCTATTTCCTTCTACTTTTTGCTTGTGTTCATTGCAGATCTGGTCTTTGTGCAATGATGCCTCCCATACTTTGTTTCACAGATTTTCCATGATTTTATTTCCTAACTGCTTGTCAGCTCATTTGGATTGTCTATTTCTCCCTGATTGAAGATGCTTGTAGGCTATATCACTTCTCATCGCATCAAATCTGCCACTTGATTCACATTCTTGCCTCACATTTTTGACAGTCCTTCCAATTTGGAATGTGGAATATTCACAACATTTTCATCTCTCATTATCTCCATCATATGGAGGTTTCATCTCCCTTGGGATATCACCTCCCTCCAGTTGCCATTTCCAGTCTACTCACTGTCTTTAATGTGCAAGTGCCTTGTTATTTCCTTATCTGTTTACTGTTCCCCCATTCATTTTTCAGAACCCACTTGGTGGCTAGTGTTGCCTCACATGGTATACTTACTTCCCTAAACTCTTAGACAGTCAGGGTTGATGGGAAGTGTTAAACCCATCCACCCTGGCTCCTAAAGTGCCCCCTCTTGTAATGTTGGATATTCTGATAGACCACTACAGTGGTATATATATCTATCTATATATATATATATATATATATATTGTTTTTTCCAGACCATACCTTCCATGAACTGTCTTGGAAAAATCAACACCTGGGAAGTATCTGTCCACTTCCCTGGCTAACAAATGCTGGCTCTTCAAATTAAGTTTTGCAGTTATCTATTGCTGCAAAACCTAATGAAAAAGACTTGCAGTGGTTAGGTCCGATCAAATTCAGACACCCCTCCGGTGTCCCCCCAGTGCAACTTTTCCCCCCCCCCCCATCTTTG